CTGATTTCAATCTTGCACAGACCACATCCACTGCCTTATCAACAGGAACGCACGTGAAGAGTGATGTAACATCAAAAGAGACCATAGTTTCATCCGTCTCCATGATGACATCCCTCACCTTGTCCACAAATCTCAATATTTAAATATAATTTGTACTTTCCTCTTTATAAGGACATCAAAAATTCCTCATTAAAATGACATAAAATCAGGATTCAGACCAAATATTTATGTATTATTGTAACCAACAAGACAAATTAAGTCATATATATGGATTTAATTATGATATCAGAATGATCCAGGTATCAAAATCTAGCTTTTAAAGCCAAGAATCTGAAAATGTAATTAAGTCATTTTGACCAAATTTGACTTAATCCTTATTTTGATATGATGGCTCACATATTTATTTGTACATCACCTACTTCATTAGAAGTAAAATAACACAATAGTGATAATAAGGATGATAATAAGGAATAAGGTACGCCTGTGGGGGTCCAAACTATAATTTTGCCAAGGCACATAAATGACTAGACCTGGTGCTATAAAGCCAATGAGAACTTTAGCGTGTGCACTCTGCCCTTCCGTTTATTGGAAAAGTGGGGAGCAGAAGGATGCAGGATGATGGGAGTCAGACAGCTGGCCCAACAGCTTTGTGTGGGCTCTCAGAGCTTACATCATCAGGAAACTGTTGGACTGCAGTTTGAGACCAGATTGTGGGAGCAATGTTTAAAAAAAAAACGTGTAAAGAGTGTTTTTGTTTGCTGAACAGATGCTGATGTTATTGGAAGGGACAGTAGGAGGAAGAGTTCTGATGAAGAGGCTGGTTTTTCCTGAAATGCTGGGTGTGTGAGAAACGTGCCAACTGAAGTTTCTGTCTAAGATGTTCTCACAGTAAAGCTGTGAAGTAACTTTTAAAAAACTGAGCTCTACTTGTTGGGTGTCTTTGTGGTTAATAATGCAGACTAACAATACACAACAGTAATTTTCCTTTAGAGAGAAATGTGTCCTCCACCCCTTCCATTACCAGTCAAAAGAAAACAATAGAAGGTGGAGCTAAAGTCATAAAAAACTTGCCTGCAGGTATAAATGATCTGAATGTCACCAAGAGAGTTTTACTGTTGTCCATTAACCCTTTCCTTTCTCATGCTTTTAAAACTAACAGCTCTGCAGGAATACAACTGGTAAAACACAACTTTGTAAACCGTTCTTTGCTGGCTGCCATCTCAACAAGGCAGAGAAGGTAAGGACAGTTGGTCTGCAGGTACAGTCATTTTCAAACTACCAGCCATTCCTTTTTTCACGCACTTTGAACAGTGATGCATCTAATTTATGAAGTGATATTTTGCAAGGCTGACACACATGTGCAAGGCAGTCTGTCAGTTATTTTTAAGTTTAAGCAAAATGTGTCCATAGACTGACTGGCAGTTTTCTGAGCTGTTGGTTTCACTTTTACAGCCAGTGTCGCTTCACGTTTTGTTCACCTTCGTGAAAAAATTAGGAATAACTTTGGCAAATTTTCTTCACTGACCTCACCCATTTCCAAGTCTTCCAAGTGCAGCATTTAAAAAAAAATTGGGATTAGGGTTAGGCTAACTGATGTTCTTGTGTGCAACATGTTTCTGTGTAAATATCATGTTAGAATGTGGACACCTGCAAGCTTACAGACAAGTGTGGCTTTTATTTGGACTTTTAATCCTTGAATCAAATGCACAAAAGAGAAGGCACTGCCCCTTTTCCACTAGTGCCACTTAGTGTAGTGTCGGTACGGTTTGGCACGGTTTGGTATGGTTCCAGTATGGTTTGGTATGGTTCCAAGCCATTTCCATTAGACCAGATTTATGGAACCAGCCCTTTTTAGTATCTACTTCATTGTGGTTCGAAGCGGCCCCAGTCTACACCAAAATGTGACATCAGAACACAGTTCGTCACTGATTGGCTGGGGGGCAGAGTCCCTGGTTGTGTCTAAGCTGCCTTTACAACAACAACTCAAGGAGCCATTTATTCAGTTGTAGCAGTGACATTAGTTGTGTTTCCATCCAATTTTAATTCAAATTTTAAGCAAATTTTTAAAATTTCAGAACTTATTTGGCAAACGTGTTTCCGTCTCTCATTTTGTGCATAAACTTTTTTCGAAAAACCCAAACACCAACTCCACCAACCGCCCAAAACACACCCACTGGAACCGGACTGCACCGTCAGTGGAAAAGCACCCTATGCTTCCACAGTAACTAGTCCTTTGAATTGAACCTGGTTCTCATGCCTGTGGCATTGATTTAGAGCCCTTTTTTTACTACTTAGGCCACTGCCTGAGCAGTCAAAGAAAAATAATTCTTGGAGACCCTTTTATAGATTCAGAGAAGCTCAGAACACTGAGTGTTTCTGACCTCATGTCCTTAATCCAAGGAACATGCAGGTTTGATTAAAACTCAGTGTTTTTTTGGAGAGCAATGCCCCCCCCACAAAAAATAAATAAATAAAAAGAAGGTCCCAACCCGATCAGGTTGGAAGTGAAGTTTATTTAATCTGTTATTATTTCTGAGCAGTCAGTGGTCACTCTGATGAGAAATAAGTGTGTTCATACAATTATTCAATGTTCTCTGGTTCGTATCTGCCTAATTCTTTTTACTTTGCATTAAAATATCACAGAATGAATATATTAAAATTAATTTATACAAAATGTCTGTAAAAAATCAGCTTCAAATTTATTTTACATCTCAAAAACTGTAAGAAAATGTCATTATGCCAAGCCCCATGCCCCCCATCTATATATCTTATTCACAAGGTTATTGGTTTTATGTTATTGGTTTGTGAACAGCAAATAATTACTGGAGTCAGTTAGCTGCTATTCAGTTGACAGAATTTGTTATTATTTCAAACAAATATTTTCTGACACTCACCTGCTTTCTGTCCAGCCATTTTCGCGATCCCTTTATCGCCCATCATGTTTTGCATGAAGTTGGCCATGTCTTCGATAGAGTGTGTTCAGGAAGGATAGAGTGTCTTCAGAATGATTCTCCACAGGCTTCAGTTTTATTCACGCAGGTGTATTATCCCTTGCAGGTGACACCCTGCAGAAGAATCAGGTGTGGTGACGCCCAACCGGTGACACAGGTCTGAAAGCAGGAAGATAAAGAATTTAATTTAGGTTTCACATGTAAATGTTGTGAGTCAGTGTGTGTGTCAGGGACAGTTTCTGCTGCAGGCATCAACTGCAGGTTGGGTCACAAATGTCAGACTTTTTTATGTTTCTTTCTGCAGCATTTTTTGAAAATATATGCTTAAAAAGTTTCAAAAAACGTTTAGAAGATAAATCAATTGGACTTCTATCCTGTCCATGCCTCTTCACAGACAAATACTTAACACCTCAAGGTCAAACTGAGAAAGCGCCAGACTGGAAATGTCTTTATCTACAGAATAAAATACAACATAATAGAAGAATAGAATAGAAGTGCTTTGTCTTTTTGAAAAAGCTTTTGAGGGGATTTACCATGTCCTGGATGACTAAGAATCCACACCAGCATATTACACGAGATAAGAGTTTTAAAGATAAAATTCTTCACTGGGATACAATGGAAGCCAATGAGAGTTTGGCATCATAAAACACTGGTTGATAGAACCTTTTCTATGACCTTTGCTGCCACCTATTTGTCACAAATTACTCCTGAATCTTTTCTCCATCCACTCCATTTTCTCTTCTGCACCTCTTTACTACACTCGTGTTCCTGGACAGCAGGGGCGTTTTTAGGCTCTTGAAACATCAGGGGCTTTAGCCCAGACCTCTTCTTCCTCTTCCCTCTTTAAAAAGTACTCTTTCACGTCTGTATTTATCCATTTATCAACATCATGTGCTGTTACAATTAATTTCTGTCAGCAGTAAGGAGCAGTTATATCGAAACTACATGTTGCTGATATCAACTAAACAAGTCAACTAAACATGCTCTCACATTATTTGCTTATTTTATGCAACAAGAGAATAGTTCAAATTTTAACCCAGTCTCCTCTGTTTATTGCTCCCAACAGACATATGAACAGCTCTTACAGAATTGTTGTGTTCTGGTACATGCAGACATTAGTACCACAGAGGAAAAGAAATACACCAGATAGGAGGCTGATTGCAGCCAGACCATCATTTGATCATTGCCAGAATCATCTGCTGTATCAGTAACAGCTCCAACACCTCAACTAAAGTCAACTAAACATCAGATCGTCCATGGTGACAAAACAGTATAACTTTTTAAGAACAAGAATGTACATATATATTTAATTGAACTAGTTGAATAGAAATGATTTGTAGTGATAACAGTAAGTTTCACCTAGGAGCACCAGCAGAACAAAGTGAGTCTAGGAGGGTTCAGATGCGGAGACCCCAGGAATTTATGAGAAAATATACTCAAAACTCTGCATTTTGCAGCCATTTGAAGTGCATTTTAAGAGGTGGCCACCCCTTTACAAAAACATAAAACCTTTACAGTATGATGGTAATGGTAATGGTAATTGGGGATGGGTACAACCCAGGTGAGCGGGGGCCTCATAAGTGGGCCCATTGCTCTCCCCAAAAGATACTGGGCTTTAATCAAACCTTTTTGTCCCTCGGATGAAGGACACCAGGTGAGAAACCCTCAGTGTTCTAAGCTTCTCGGGATCCACAAAGGGGTCTCCAAGATTTCTTTCCCTTAGACTACTCAGAGCCAAGCATTGGCCTAAGTAGTGCAAAGAGGTCTCTGATTCAATGCCGCAGGCATCACACAGACCATTGTCTTGGAGTCCCTTCACCATTTTATGGTGGTTGAGCAGATTGTGCCCAGTTAGGACTCCAATCAGTGTACTTAAAGTATTCCTTGTCAAGGCAAGAAGGGATTTTCCAAATCCATGATTTGGGCTGTTTATCAGTTCCCGTGCCTGTCTACAATCCGTCAGCTCCCTCCATCGGATTGAGTGTTGACGTCTGATCCATGCCTGTAGGGCAGTCCTGCAGATTGTTGTTGAAACACCCATAGCAGGCTCTGGTCCTTTAAAGTGGGCCTGACTGCCAGCTCTTGCAAGGTAGTCAGCTCTCTCGTTACCATAAATGCCAGAATGTCCTGGTACCCATTTAACAGTAACACTATTATCTCTCCCCAGTTGGTTGACTGCTTCGGCACACTCCCAAGTCAGTAGTGACGTGAACTGCGGCCCTTGGAGAGCTTTAATAGCAGCTTGGCTATCTGTTGGGATGAATTTTTCCTTCTGCATACTCTGAAGTTCTTTTGAGAGATGCCACACACTGATGGATTGCATATATCTCAGCTTGAGATACCTTTACAAAACCGCCTAGTGGGTAACTATACTCTCTCTTGCTATGGTTGTGCAGAATCAGCACCCCTGCACCTGCTGACTCCTTTATAAGGGATCCATCTGTAAAGCAGTAGAAATAATTTGGAGACAGGTCCACCATAGAGAAATTACTCCAGGCTGACCTATCTTCAATCTCTGTCTTAAAACTTGGTTCAAAATTGTGTTTTTTCACCATTCTATCTCCAGGGCAGTATGATAGTACTTACTGTAAATCATAGTCTACATAGTCTTTGAGCTGAACTTTATCGAAGATCATATTTGCAAATTGTGATAAGTATTCATAATGACCACTTGGTGTATTGAAAGCCATCTTCCAGTCGTCGCCTTCTCTTATTCAAACCAAATGGTAAGCATTTCGTAAATCTAACTTTGTGAAAATCTTAGCCCCCTGAATAAGGTCAAATGCTGTACTCATTAGAGGAAGCGGGTATTTGTTTTTGATTGTGATTTCATTTAATCCACTATAGTCAATACATGGACGCAAGGACCCGTCCTTCTTGCCAACAAAGAAAAAAACAGCACCAGCAGGGGAAGAGGAAGGTCTTATAATACCTGACTTTAGTGAATCATTAATATAATCTTGCATTGCTTGGCTCTCCGGTTTAGATAAAGAGTATAATTTCCCTCTAGGAGGGATGGTTGAGGGTAGCAAATCAATAGCGCAATCTTATGGTCTATGGGGTGGTAACACTAAACAGTTAGTACAACAAAAGGTAGACCAACCCAAAATTTCTTTATTCGTCCAGTCAATGAGAGGGTTATGTTTATTTAACCGTGTTGCCCCAAGGACAATGGTTAAGTGAGGGGAATTGATTACCAAAAAACAGTTTCTCCCACCGTGGTTGTTTCCAAGAGTCATAACAACCGGGGTAGTCTGGGTGCTGGTGTAATTGAGATGGTGACCGTCTAGTGCCAAAATTTGGTGGTTCGTCTCTGATTTTACTATCTGTCCCAAAGAAAGAGCAAAATTAGAATCAATGGGACTCATGCAAGAACATGTTCGTATTCTTATCCTAAATTTCTCTTACTTTTGTTCGTACAAAGGGTTCGTACGAACATGTCACGTCAGATTCAGCAAACTCTTCTATCTTCAGGAAAAGTGCGTAAATGAGCTGCGTAATTTCCAGCTGTTCGTGCATGCGAGAGGAGATTAGCATAATTACCACCCCAAAAACACCAAATTAGGCTATGTTTCCTACCTCAGATACAAGTGTTCATTCATGAAAAATTACAGCGA